TTATGTGAACAAACATTTTAAAGGTTTGCACAGAAATGTCATGCTCCCTTGTAAAAGTGTTTTGTAGTATCTTCAAAATACAGTACAGTATTATATACAAAAGTATATAAAAAAGTATATAAAATAAAGTATATTTATACAAAATACAGTATTTTATTGTGATACGTTAGTGGCTGCTGTATTTTGTAGTTTCTTTTGGTACAATTAAAACAGAGATATTTTGTATTTTACTTTAAAATACATTTCAGTGTATTTTTGCACATCCCTGCACACACACACACACACATGCACACACACACACACACACATGCTTCTGCAGTGATCAGAGCATCAGTTATTCCCTCAGTATTTAGTGTAGATTTATTCAAATGGTCAAGATGCATTCAAAACCATGTATACTGATATTAGCAATAACATTTTTAATGTGTGAAATAATTATTTAATAATACTAATAAGCAGACATATTATACTCAAGATTTACAGATTTTGCCTGTTTTTGGTCACTAAAAATTAGAATAATATAATAATTTAATGTAATATGATAATTAAAAGGCTGACACGGTGGTTAGCACTGTGGCCACACAGCAAGAAGGTCTCTGGTTTGAGTCTCGGCTGGGTCAGTTGGTGTTTCTGTGTGGAGTTTGCATGTTCTCCCCGTGTTGGCGTGGGTTTCCTCCAGGTGCTCCGGTTTCCCCCACAGTCCAAACACATGCGATATAGGGGAACTGATCAACTACACTGGCCGTAGTGTATGAGTGTGTTGGGTGTGTATGAGTGTGTATGGGTGTTTCTCAGTACTGGGTTGCAGCTGGAAGGGCATCCGCTGCGTAAAACATGCTGGAATAGTTGGCAGTTCATTCCGCTGTGGTGACCCTTGATAAATAAAGAGACTGAGCGAAGGAAAATGAATGAATGATAATTAAAAATAATAGACAAATAAAAATATAAATCATAAATGAAATAAATTATGATATAATATAAATGATGTTTTATTACATTATCTTATATTATTATTTTATTTGTTTATTAATATAAATAATTATATTTTATTTGATTATTTTATATTAATGTAGTATATGTGATATTTATGGTTATTTGATATTCCCTCACAGTCAAAACACATGCGGTACAGGTGAATTGAGTAGGCTAAGTTGTCCGTGGTGTATGTGTATGTGTGAGAATGAGTGTGTATGGACGTTTCCCAGAGATGGGTTGCAGCTGGAAGGGCATCCGCTGTGTAAAATAAATGCTGGATAAGTTGGCGGTTCATTCCTCTGTGGCGACCCCGGGACTAAGCTGAAAAGAAAATGATTGAATGGTTATATGAGATAATACAATATCAGAATAATAATAATAAAATAAAGTATAGTGATGAAAATAATATGCAAATGAAATAATTATATTTATATAGTTTTAATCCAAATATATGATACTTAAATGTATCTTTTTCTTACAAAACCTCATAGATATTGCTGTGAAAGGATCTGATTAATTAATCTGATTTTAAAAATGTCCATTTTCATTTTTAAAACGTGTCCAATATTGATTAATCAGTCCATAACTGTTTTTTAACAAGTGTGAGGTATAAGCAAAAGGAAATTAAGGTTTATACTGTAAACAATACAATATCTGTAATAATATTTGTATACTGTACATGCAGAGCTTCAGGATGACCTGAACACCAGACGTCTGATTTGCTTTAATATTTATTTATATTTTGTTATATATATAATATATAATGTTGTGTTGTTTTTCTCAGTGACGGGTCCTCTGTCAGAACTGCAGATCGCCTACATCTGTCGAGAGATGCTGCAGGTACACACACACACACACACACACACACACACACACACACACACACACACACACACACACACACACACACACACACACACACACACCGTAGCAACTGTAGAATCAACACAACAGATCAATTACTATAGGTGTTGTTACCATAGCAACTGTAGAATCACCACAACAGATCAATTACTATAGGTGTTGTTACCATAGCAACTGTAGAATCACCACAACAGATCAATTACTATAGGTGTTGTTACCATAGCAACTGTAGAATCACCACAACAGATCAATTACTATAGGTGTTATGTTACCATAGCAACTGTAGAATCACCACAACAGATCAATTACTATAGGTGTTATGTTACCATAGCAACTGTAGAATCACCACAACAGATCAATTACTATAGATGTTGTGTTACTATAGCAACTGTAGAATCACCACAACAATCAATTACTATAGGTGTTGTGTTACCATAGCAACTGTAGAATCATCACAGAATATTACTTTAAGTTTGGATCAAACACACACTGTAGTATTGTTTGCTATGGATGGTTGTAGTATCTTTTCAAAGCTGTGCTGTGCTCTGTGTGTGCTTCAGGGTCTGGATTATCTTCACGGACAGAAGAAGATCCACCGAGACATTAAGGGTGCAAATATTCTACTGAATGACCACGGAGAAGTCAAACTGGGTGGGTAGAGCTGCTGGAAACACTTTGTGTGTGTGTGTGTGTGTGTGTGTGTGTGTGTGTCGCTCTGTCTAACGCTCATGTCTCTGCGTGTTTACAGCGGATTTCGGCATCTCTGCTCAGATCACAGCCACTTTAGCGCGCCGCATGTCCTTCATCGGGACGCCGTACTGGTGAGAAACACTTACGTGTGTTTGACCTCTGCTGCTGGGTTGTGAATGAACACTTCTTCTGCTGTAAATGCAGTGTGTAGAGTGTGTGTTAGCAGTCAGTGTGAGTGTGTGTTAGTGTTCAGCTGTTAGAGTGTGTTTGTGTGTGTGTGTCTTCAGGATGGCTCCAGAAGTGGCTGCGGTGGAGATTAAAGGAGGATATAATGAGCTGTGTGATATCTGGTCTGTGGGAATCACGGCTATAGAGCTGGCAGAGCTACAGCCGCCACTGTTTGATGTACATCCACTCAGGTACAACACAAACACACACGCACACACATGCATGCAACAATTTCTAAGATAACCCAACTTCAAGAGATTCAGATGCAGGTTGACTGTGTGTGTGTGTGTGTGTGTGTGTTTCAGAGTGTTGTTCCTGATGTCTAAGAGCGGTTATCAGCCTCCAAAACTCAAAGACAAGTCCAGATGGTGAGAGACTGACAGAGTGAAGCATCAGTGAATCGGTTAGAGTGATTCAGTCAGAGTGATTCAGCAGATGATTCGTTTCTTTTTAGGTCTACGATGTTCTACAGCTTCGTGAAGGCCATGCTGATCCGCAACCCCAAGAAGAGACCCGGCGCCAAGAAGATGCTCACGGTGTGTGTGTGTGTGTGTGTGTTGGTCTATTCGTGTATTCGTGTACTTGTGTTAGGGTTTCTGTCTGAGTTGTATGTGTGTGTGTGTGTCTGTGTATTTGCCTGTCTGTGTATTTGTGTTTGTGCATTTGTGTGTTTGTGTATTTGTCTCAATGTTTGTGTATTTGACTATTTGTGTGTCTGTTTTGTGTGTGTGTGTCTGTGCTTTTTTGCCTGTTTTTGTGTGTGTCCTTGTATTTGTGTGTCTGTTTGTGTATTTGACAATTTGTGTGTCTGTGTTTTCTATGTGTGTGTCTGTGCTTTTTTGCCTGTTTTTGTGTGTGTCCATGTATTTGTGTGGCTGTTTGTGTATTTGCGTGTCTGTGTATTTGTATGTCTGTGTGTTTGCATTTGTATATTTGTGTGTTTTATGTTTGCGTGTCTTTGTATTTGTGTTTGTGTGTAGGTGTATTTGTGTCTATATGTTTGTGTATTTAACAATTTGCGTGTCTGTGTTTTCTATGTGTGTGTCTGTGATTTTGTGTCTGTTTTTGTGTGTGTCTGTGCTTTTGTGTATTTGTGTGTCTGATTTGTATGTGTTTGTGTATTTTTGTGTGTGTGTTTGTGTGTATGTGTATTTGTGTGTTT